GAGCAAGAAGCTACTAGGGGCTCCTGGCCTTACTAGTAGTAACAAGACGCTACTAATAGCAAGCCCTCAACCCGCTGAAAGCCACAAAAAAGGTGTGCCTGGCTTGGAAGGGTCGCTACCGATGGCTTCATGGCGGGAAGGGAGCTGCTGACGGCTTGGAGCCCTTTTTGTTGATTGGCTTGAGGTTGTCTCTTGTATCTTCCCTGGCTTCATCATGGCTGCCAGTCCACTCGCGAGCTTTTGGGGGTTCTCAGCAATTGTTCGCAGTGGATAGAAACGTGTTTCCCAGGAATTACGGACAAGAAGCTACTAGGGGCTCCTGGCATCGCTACTAGGAGCGATCGGACACTACTAGGGGCTCAACTTCGGCAGGTCGGCTCACTTCACAGTGTTTCGCCTCGCCATGGTGTTCATTCTCTGTGTCTGCAGAAAGAGCTTCTGTGACATTGCCTGATCTTGGTGTTCTGGTGGCTTAAAATCCTGAAAAACTCATGTTTGTTTAAATCGCTCAAGCCCAAACGAAGCGCCCGGTTTGCAGGTTCAGAGATTCACAAGAAGAACTTCCAGGCCGATGCCACCACGCTTCAAAGCTCCCCCCACTGATACGACCCCCAGGTTCCAAGGAGTACTGTTCTTCCCTTCTTTCTTTAGACCTTAAGACCTGTGTTGTTGTGTTCGTTCCTCTTTTTGCCCGCCCTTTGTAAGGAAAAACGCTCCTAGTTGCTTAAGCTACTAGATGGACGCAGGATGGCTCACTCTTCTTCACTAATGATGTGATTCCTAGATTGAAACATCTGTTTTCCTGCTTTCGTGATTGCTTGCTCTGCACACCCATTCGTTAAGAGTCACAGCCAGGACGGATTCGTTGACCAACTCTCGGCCCTGAATCGGATAGGTCGGAAGGCCATCTTGTTCACCAGCGAGGCTTCCTCTAGGTCCCGTGACAGTCGAGTCAAGTACCGAACCTGTGGGTCTCGACAAACATCCGAGGTGGGAGGCCATCGCTATAAGGTTCCTTTGCTACAAACGGAGCAAAGGGCATCGCTACTAGGGGCTCCTGGCCTTACTAGGAACAAGGGCGCTACTAGGAGCAAAGGGCATCGCCTTCATCAAATTCCCTGGGACCCCGTGCACCGTGGCTTCCACCGTCACATCGATCTTTGCAATGCGGGAGAAGGCCTGAACCACCCATGATGGTCGGAGCACATTGTGTGACGTAACATGCGGGACCCAGGCTGTAACGCAGTACAAGACTTGGTCATCAATAGTCAGAAGTTCCTCCTTGGCACAACCCAAGAGAAATGCACTCCCAAGTGTTTGGAATTCAACACCTGGAAAGTAGACTGGGAATCTCCAGGTGTAGCGGTCTACCTAAACACCAAAAGACATAGTCATTGGTTATCATTGGTTGATCACCCCAGAAAGCTACAATTTAGTACATCCATGGTATGAACAGGAAAAAGAAAAGGAAAAGGTGATAGCCAGATCGTTGAATATTTCGGACCTACAGCTGTGACTTGCACTTGCCAAAATGCCTTTATAGCCTTTCAGTGTCTTTCTATTTACACAAAAAAGGGCTAAAGCTTCTAGCATCTTCTAGCTACTAGTAGCTTCTTGTTACTAAGAATGCTCCTAGTAGCGATGCCAGGAGCCCCGTTCGTAGCTTCTTGTGACCCACACAGTGCGAACGGGTGTCGTCGCTTTTTGGGCGTCGGTCCCTGACGACCCGAGAAAACGTGTGAAAGGATTCGCAGAGGCAAAGCTGGGCGCTGGATGAAGTTATTCGCAAACCACTCACCACACGTTCTCACCTCGATCTGAATAATTTATGGATGTTTGTTAAACTCTTTGTACACAAGGCTCTTTTTGTCGCTAAATCCATCGACAAGTGGCAATGTGGTTTCAGCAAAAGGACTAAAGTCACACTTCGAGCGTCCGGCTGTGTCCAGCTTCACTGACAACCCGACGTGTTGCTCGGACCCTCAAACATCGCAGAACACGTCAGAACGACGGCGTCAGAACAACGGCCCCTGATCTGTACAAATGTTCCAGCTCACAAATGGCTGGGCCTGAAGCGGCGGAGATGTCTCCTCAGTTCCTGAAAATCACGAACAACTTCTCATGTAAAGGCTTCTCAGAACACTAGAGGCTTGCGGACGGATAAGCCTCTTCGTTCACTAAAACGCAATCTTTTTGATGAATATTGCTAAGAGTTGTCTGTTGCGTCAACAGTCTGAAGGCTTGTTGCACTCCCAAAAAAGAAGGAAAACGGGTCTGCAGATTTGGAAGTTCTGAGTATCGAGAAGCCCACAGAGCCGGAGGATAGCACGAACCGATGCTGCAATGACCGATGAAGTCTTCGTTGGGCAGCGTTTCGGCTGGTTCGTCTCAACTGCTCCAAAAGGAACGTCAGGCTGTACAGAGGATTATGAAGGTCTGCAAGCTCATTGGAACCTGAAATTGAACTCTGAGGAGCAATATTAGAAACAATAAGCTACTAGGAACAAGTGCATCGCTTCTAGTAACAAGTGCCTTACTAGTAGTAACAAGAAGCTATTAGAAACAAGTGCCTTACTACTAGTAACAAGAAGCTATTAGGTTGGAGGCCATCGCTATTGGGTTGATTCTCGCTATTTCAAGCCATAGAAGCCTAGGGACGCATCATTTTGAGCGGGTGTCGAGAGACCGGCAGCCACAGTGGTTGGTGGGAGAAACCCCCCAGAATCTACAAACTTTAGAACCAGATTGGTGTAGTTCCACTGTATCTAGGCTGCAGACCTTGCAGAACGGCTCAGACATGGAGCGAAGATGGCGGGTCTGTGTCGAATGAGAAACCAAGTGCTTCAAGCGCTTCTTGCAAGACACCTGTAACTGCCTTGTGTCATTTCTCCATGCAACTAGGAACAAGGACGCTACTAGGGGCTCCTGGCCTTACTACTAGGAGCAGCGGACGCTACTAGGGACCATCAAGAATGCAAGGTGCCTTGTGGCAGAGCTTCGCTCCCAGAACAAATCAGTGCACAACTGATCTGCGACCAAGTAACAAGAAGCTACTAGGAACAAGTGCATCGTTTCTAGTAACAAGTGCCTTACTAGTAGTAACAATGTTTGCTATTAGAAACAAATAGCTATCTTCGATATGGTCGATCTTCTGCTACGAACGGAGCAAAGGGCATCGCTACTAGGAGCAAGGACGCTAGGAACAAAGGGCATTTCTACTAGGAACGATGACAGATTCTTTGCAGCAGAGGTTCTCTACGCCCCTCCCCTCCATCTTGCTCAGGTCTCAGCAGGCAGCTGGGGGGTCAGGTTCAACACCCTCAGCCGTCACCAGGTTCCATGTTCGAATGATAGGAATTCAGAAAAGTGTCTCTTCTTGTTTCTGTTAATGTTTTTTGCTTAGGGAAGGCCTTCAATCATTGTCGGTTTCTCTTGCACAATCTAATGCCGTGGAACACCGATTTGGGACTTCCAGTGGTGCGCGCAGGTTTCTGCGACAGCGCCAGCAGAAATCAGAGATTAGCGCTCCTTAGCGCACACGACAGGCCACGACAGGCCAAAGTCGTGTCTTCCTGCACCAAACGTGCTATCGTGGGGGAACGGCAGGTGCTTGGAAACGACTGCAAAAAATGCTTCAGGACACACATAGTGAACCCAATTGAGACTTCGTGTTCAAATTGGAACTAGTCTGGGGAACTACAGGGTGGACCCAAATAGTCGTCCTGCAGGGTGATTCAGGACTTTAACGGACCTTGTAAAACTATGGTTTCCTAGTCTAGGACAAGAGTAAACAGCGGATCCCGGTATATGGCCTTGCTTTTTGAATGATTCAGCCATCTGCAAGACAAGCTCCAAGCACCCTGCAAATTGAAGATATTGAACCAATTTTTGATCGTTCGCAGCGTCTTCTTACGCTGAAGTTCAAAAGGCTCTTTTGCGCTGACTTGACACGCTGGACAGCACTTATCGCTCCGCCAGCGAAGTCGCTGAGGCAATTTCTAGAAATTTCTAGATGATGCACAAAGACATAATAGAAGTGTAGCAAAACCTCAAACGTGAGTTTGCGATAAACCTCCAACATCGATGAACTTGCTAGGATTGTGTGAGGCCAAAACTAAAGCCTGAAGAAGATTGGTTTCAAAAGGACTTCCTCTCCTGCTCGAAATGAGTCACAAATTACACAACTGCCTCCTTCAACCTTATTTAGCAATGACTCCAGCTTAAGTTTGACGAGTCATGATTCCCAACCACCCTACTTGCTACTGCAACCCCTTTCCTTCAATAGGATGTTTATATATGCTTATTATGATGTTTTATGACCTTCCTTCTTTTTCTTTTGTTCCTTGTTTCTAATAGCGATGGCCTCCAACCTAATAGTAATAGGTTTGTTTAATGACAGAGCTTCATCAAACGTTACGCTTCCAGCGGCGATGTTTGGAAGTTTTTTTCGATTCCTCTCAGAGAGCAGCCGCACGGCGTCGCTTTAGCATCTGGCATGTTCTCATCTTCACTCCAAAGCCTTGGGTCGCAAAATGTCCAAGTTCCTGGTGTCATGTCGCCTCCAAGTCTGAACATGTGCAATTGTTTTGAACTGCGGACTGTCAAACCACTAAACTTCAGACCTTGGACTGAGCAATCTAATATTTTCTCTCAGAAAGGAAGATCTTGCCAGCCAAAGGCCGAGATTGAACCTTTCCCTAGTAGCTTCTTGTTCCTAGTAGTATGGCCAGGAGCCCCTAGTAGCGTCCTTGCTCCTAGTAGCGATGCCAGGAGCCCCTAGTAGTTTCTTGTTCATGTTAAACCTTGTTTTCCCCTGTTTTTCCGTTTTACTCCTCATGTTCACACCTTGTGTTCACCATGGTCACCAAAGCTCCACACCGACCATTTTCTTCACAGGTAGCTCGGCCCCAACGATGGCCGCCACCACCAAGGCACCTTTGTGAGGCGAGGGGAACAGAGCGAAGTCCGGATGAGAACTTTGTCGAATGCAATGTGTATCGAAGTTGTTCTTTGAATTTGTGTTCAACCCAGTTTCATGGGAACCCGTGCTTCGAACGATCTTGATAATTACACCACCGTAGACCCCAAACAGATTGTTTTGTTTAAATCAGAACACTCTGTAATTAGAGTTTGCGACGTCCAGAGCTGGGAGACAAATGTAGACGCAGGGAGACGCATGTAAAGGATTGCAAGCGACATGCAGCCCAGAGCTGGGAGACAAATGTAAAGGATTGCAGGGCAGAGCAGTCCAGAGTCCAGAGTTGGGAGGCACGTGTAAAGGATTGCAAGGCAGAGGCGGACACAGCAGCCCAGACGGAAACAAAAGTAAACAAATCACAAGGGAGACAAATGAATAGAAATGCTGCATGGCCAGCGGAAAAGGGCAGACACCAGCAGTGACAGAAAGGGCGGACGCATCTTAAGAAAGAATTGAGAACCGTTTTGAAAAAAAATGCCAGCCGCGCGGCACATGCCACACACGGACAGAGACAAAGCGTCATTGGGTCAAGAAGCAATGGCCTCCAACCTTCTAGCCATGGCCTCCAACCTAATAGCTTCTTGTTACTAGTAGTAAGGCACTTGTTACTAGTAGCGATGCACTTGTTACTAGTAGCTTCTTGTTACTATCGCTTTTTTGTCTCAAGTCTCGCCTCCCAGGAGCTCCGACGGCGCCAGCGACTGGTGCAGCAGCAGCGCGGCGCAGAGTGCTGCCCAGAGCGGCTCTGATGCCGAGAGCAGCGACACCTGACGAAAAGAAAAACAAGCGTTGCCGAGGGCGGCAGTTTCCGTCGTTTTCAAAAGTACAGAAAAGCTCAATAGAAAGAAACAAAGACGCTAGCAAACTAAAGAAGGAAAGAGGGAAATGTTTTCTTGTGAGATTGACCGAATCAGCGAGTATACACCAAAAAAGGAACGGTGCTTTTGTCTGTTTTTCCCTTTGTCTATCAAGGTCTCTTATTCCACATCCCATTTAATCTGTTCCTTATTTGTGAAAGACAAGGAAATCGTTGCACTCGGCCTCAGCAGCCTTCAACTTGCGCATGGCGCAGTTGCAAAGCAGAAAGGTCACCTGGCGGAAGCACAACTACAAACAGTGGCAAGATTCTCGCAGGTGTTCGCAGCGGTGTGGTGGATGCGCCGAAGACTTGCAGCGGGTTACCAACGATTGAATAAGTCTTATTCAAATCCTGACTGAAAGGGGCAAAGTTGCAACTTGGCCAGTTGCAGCAGTCCTTGGTCGAAGAATCTTGGTCACACAGAGCCCTGTTGAAGCAGCCCCAAGAAATCACTCCACTGTAGCACAGGGTTCTGTCAATCGCCACCAAGTCTCTGTGTTTCCCATGAAGGCCGAAAAGACCAGGGCAGGCAAAAGATTTGGCACTTCCAGCAACTTCCTTGGAGCGCAAAAAGAACTACTTCTCTCCATGTACCTTTTGAGACCAACTCTTTCATTAGAAGCTGGCTGCTGGGGTTCAATGCCAGCTCCCCGTCCCCCCAAAAAGATCTTGCTCCGACTGAAGGACTTGCTGGGTCCGATGTGGTGAGGGATCAAAAGGACAAGAAACCGAAAGTTCAAAACACGGTCTGTCGACATCAACAGACTCAGGTTCATCCATGCAGGAACCAAACGAAGCAAACTCAGGCCCTCCATGCATGTTCCTCATCGCTACGAAGCAAACTGGAGGCCGTTTGTGGCGCTTTCAGCGAGAGCGTCGGGACGTCCTGGATCCAGAGTGCGAGGCCCTCGGCACCGTGGGACATCAGGTGTTCGCCACAGCTCCACGCGGCAAACAACAGTGCGAAGCACGCCTTGGAGACGGCCGACTGAAAAGACACGTGCGGCCAAGAAAGAACTGAAAAGACAGAAGGATTCGGCCTCCAACTTAAAAAGAAAGCAAAAAAGAGAGCAAAAGAAGCAGAATCCTTCTGTCCCTTTTGGCCAAGATCAATTCAGCAAGCAAGTTTGTCTGCAATGAAATATAAATATAGAAAGAAAAGCTATAAATGCGATGGCCTCCAACCTAGTGAAAGTAATCGCTGCAAATTGTTGCGGAATCTGCCACAACCGGACCGAGCTACCAGCTGAATGGCCACGGCTGGGGTAGCGTCCTGGCCAAAAGAGGCTAGGACAAGGCTTCCTTTGCCATTCGGAAGAAGGCTCAAGTGAGTGTATGTGAGCGTCGGCAGTTTACAGGCAGTGTAGGAGTGTAGGAGTTCAATTGCAATTCAGAGCAATGTTTGGTTGGTTGGTTGCTTCTAGTGGATGTTTGGCAGGCCTAAAGATTGCAACAAATGTAAAAAAGCTGCTGGTAAACATGATAGACATGACCACCATTAGCAGGAAGCCAGGCATTCAAAACAAGAGTCCTGTGTGAATGGGTACAGGCGTGTGCTGAAGCAAGACTCGATGAACAGCGAACCCTTCGCAACTCTAACCCAAATCAAGCCTGTTCCCTTCACCTGATCACTAGAGGAACACTTGTAGGGACAAAGTACTCACCGCCAACTGGAATGAATTCAAAAAATGAAACTGCACCAAATCCTTTGAACCGAGACTTCCGTGATTCAGGTCACCCTCACGTCTTGACGCTCGCTCGCTTGGGCCTGTGGGAAACTCCTCATGTGCTCCCCCAGTAGATGCCAACTGAGCCCCATCAGCAGTGGCGCCGCCATACCTTGCAGTTTCTCCTCATGTGAGGAACATCTTTACACCATAGCTTTTCCCTATCCACACACATCCACGCAAATCTGCAGCCCCGCCATATCTCCTTCAAAAACACCCCATTTCTCCAACCCTTCCGTCGGGGCACAGAGCATGTCGCTCGAGAGGTCAGCGGTTGTGTCACCAGCGGCCTCGGCAGGTCCGCCACCAAGCTCCAGGAAGCCCACACCGCAGATCGCGAGCATGGCCTCACGCCAACGAAACCCCCAAGTTCTGTCGTTTTTGGCCCACTCCCCCCCTCCCTACTTTATTGAGTAAGGGAGAGGTAGCTACTAGCTGCTAGTCAGCTACTACCTAGGACGCAGGATAGCTCACGCTTCTTCAAGGAAGCTCCTCCCGCCGCCTTTAATGCCTTCCACCTATTAAAAGACCCGGCCTCCCCCTACCAGTATTAACAAAAATTCGGGTGCAATTTTTTTAATAAGAGGTCCCTGAAATCGGGGTTGTCCAAAATCGGGTCAGTGAGAGGATCCTTGAATCATTGATTAACCAAAAAGTCACCCAGGAAAATTTTACTTAAAATCGGTTATTCACTAAAGCTTTTGAAAGGTGAGTCCGTGTCATTGGGGGAAGGAAAACCTGCTAGTGTAAACACGTCGTGTCATGGTGGATAGACAGGGTGGACAGAGGTGGTCAGTTACGGTTGTTTTTGGAGCCTAAATTATACTGTTTAAAAAAGAATCGACCATGTTGGTAGTTTATTAGCGGTTTCAAAGGGCGGTAATTTATAAACAAAAATAAACCGTATTTAGGGGTTTCCGGCATGACTTTACGAAATAAGTGTCCGCTTTTAAATAGGTAGGACGCTACTAGGAGCAAGGGCATCGCTAGAAAGGAAAAAAGAAAAGGCCCTGATCGGCCCTGACCCGACAGGCTCCGGGGCACCGATGCCACGCTGCCAAGCTGAAGACGTTTTGCGCAAATGGAACTGCAAAAGGCCACAATAATGGTCCTCAGTCAAGGACGCTAGGAGCGATCGGACGCTACTAGGGCTGGCATCGCTACTAAGAGCAAGGACGCTACCAGGCTAACAATATGCAATAATAATGTCATAACCGACCCACCAGCGGATCTGTAGAACTAAATGAGTTAGAATTCGAGTTGGAGAAAACGGTACTAGGCAGATCCTAGTTGCAGAAATAAGTTCACGCACAGTTTACAACGGCACCGACAAAAGGCCGCTCAGCTGGGATTGGTCCTTTCAGAGGAAGAACTTGCGAAAAGGAATTGTTGCCAAGGTGGGTCGTGGTTGTCTGTAGCTACCAAAATAAATTCAATGAGGTATATAAATTGACCTTTCAACTTCATGTCAACACGTAATTTGCGCACACATTGCCAATCAAATCCATCTTTCAAATCCTATTCTATCCTATTCTCGGAAACAAGAAGCTACTAGGAACAAGTGCATCACTTCTAGTAACAAGTGCCTTACTAGTAGTAGTGTTTGCTATTAGAAACAAGAAGCTGCAGGGCCATGATGAAGGCCGCTTTAGCTCCGGAGGTCCCATGCGCCAGCGACGCGAAGACCGCCGCGTAGGCAATCGCGCTCAGGGTCCCCACCAGCGCGCTGCCTACCGCGAAGCGGCGCAGCGGACGGTGACGGACGACTCGGTGTTTCTAATAGTAGCACTTGTTCCTAGAAGGCACGGTGGGATGCACTTGTTCCTAGTAGCTTCTTGTTTCTAATAGCTTCTTGTTGCTACTAGTAAGGCACTTGTTCCTAGTAGCTTCTTGTTTCTAATAGCTTCTTGTTACTACTAGTAAGGCACCTTGCTACTAGTAGACCTTGCTACTTGTTTCTAGTAGCTTCTTGTTACTATATCAGACCTTTCTTCCTTTTTCGTTTCTACTAGCGATGGCCTCCAACTTAGTGAAACGCAATTTGAACGGCAAAGAGTCAACAAAGGCTCAGTTCTCAAGCAATGAGTGATCTTCGTCAGTTGTCTACTTTTTTAAGTTCCCTTCAAAGGTCAAGCTCTTGTTTCGACAAACATAATCCATACAATCCAATTCGCCAGCATGGAAAAATGCTCGAGAAAACAAGGCAAAAGCCATACAAGCCGCCAACTCAAGTACTAACCCAAGTCGTTCGATGCTCTTTGGGCGCTGGCAACCTCATGGGCTCTCTCAGGACATTTCACACTCCACAGCATGTGCCTCTGGCACTTTCAGGACAGCTGGACTTCAAGATCCAGGGTAGCATGGGCAGCGCGGCCAAGAGAAATCCTTTGGAGATGGAAGGTGTGATAGAGCCATGGACACAGGTTCTAAGACGCAACCCGAATGTTTATATCCTGATGGAAGTTTCCTTAAACTGGGTGTAGGTCGAAATGATGGCGGCCCAACCCATAGCGCATCATAGCTCCAAATGGAATCACTGATGGACAATGCTCAACAAACCTTGGGGTCACCCCTTGCTCCCTACACAAACGTGCCTGTCGTTCTTTTGTGGATCCCTTTTCAGCCTTTGCTCGCTTCTCACTTGTCCAGCTCTTCCGTTTCTCCGCCCACCGAGACACGACAAGCGCCGAAGACCATGGCAGCATCCTCTACGCCTGCAGTGTTTAGGGCATCAATCCCAGCCTGGCACGCAACAGAGAGAGGTTTCACGAAGGACAAATTAAAAGGAAGAAAAACAATAAAAGCAAAAAGGAAGAAAAATGAAGCTTGCGGGAAAAAAAGAAAAGATCTTTTTGGTCGCGTCAAGCCAAAGAAAAGCGCTGAGTAGTAGCGAAAGAAGAGATCGGAGCCAAAGGTCTGTTCGGTGTGTTCTCATTCTTTGAGACGGATAGGATTGCTTCAATTGCTTCCCTGTGTCTTTTGAGATGGTTTCCGTTTAGTAGGAAGTAGTTTCAAATTGTAATCCCTTCTGAATGTTGGAGGACTAGTTGGTTTTCTTTGCTTGCAAGTGCTGCTTTTCGTCAGAGTCACTTCCAAAAGACTGCTTGAGACATGTATTCGTTCAAATCGCGAATTGGTACAAACTCCCAATGGCAATAAGCCTGTGAGAAGCCTCGCTTGTTCACCCGAGGGCCAGCTAGCAACATCGGTGATAGTGATATGTGACCTCTATGGCATGAAGAAAACTTCACAAGTTCACTTCAAGTCCCTTCCAGTCAAGTCCTGTTTGGCAGCGCTTCTACGCACTTTCACGCCAGGCTTCCGACCTGTGAAGAGACATAGGAGGATCCCCAGCATGCCGCGTTGAAAAGGGCAATGGCTTTCCACACCCCTTGCTGCAACGCCTCCGAGAACGAAAATCAAACAAATCGGGTTGATTAAAAGAAGCGCTCGCACTAATGATTTGGTTTCAAGACTTTTAGGGAAACTTAAACTTAAATAAAAGCGATGGCCTCCAACCTTAAGTTTCCCAAAAAATCTGTTAACCAAGGGCGGCGGGGAGAGTTTCCTTGAAGAAGCGCGAACTATCCTGCGTCCTGTCAGTGCTAGCTACTTAAGCTACTAGCTATTCCTCTCTAGCTACCTCCTCCTACCACTCTACACGGCCTACCCCTCCTTCAAAAAATTACCCCACCGTAGACCCCAAACAGGTGGGACAACAAAGAAGCACTCTCAAGTCCATATTTTTGAAACATGGGAGGTAAGAAGGAAGAGAAGGCGGACAATGACCAACAAGAAAGGGAGACAAAAGGAAAGAGAGGGAGACAACACGGAAACAATGATCAACAAGAAGGGAAATAAGAAGGAAGACAAAAGAAAACAGAAGGGAGACAAGACGGACACAATGACCAACAAGAAGGGAGACAAAACGAAACAAAAGGGAGACAAGACGGACACAATGACCAACAAGAAGGGAGACAAGAAGGGAGACAAAAGGAAACAGAAGGGAGACAAGACAAACACATTGACCAACAAGAAGGGAGACAAGAAAGGAGAAAGGAAACAGAACGGAGACAAGACGGACACAACGACCAACAAGAAGGGAAACAAGAAGGGAGACAAAAGGAAACAGCAAGGCGGACACTCTTTCAAAGCATTGAGAACCCCTAACAGCATCCGCTGTGGGGAAAAAGTAAAGAAGTCACCTAGCAGACAAAAGAATAGAAATGCTGCTCCAGTGGAAACGAGCGGACGCCAGCAGTGCAGGCACCGAACCTGGGAAACAAAAGTAAACAAGTCACACAAATGAATAGAAATGCCGCATTGCCAGCGGAAAAGGGCGCACACCAGCAGTGCAGGCACCGAACCTGGGAGACAAACGTAAAGAAATCAGAGACACAAAAGTAAAGAAATCACCTGGGCATGGCCAGCGGAAAAGGGTGGACACCAGCAGTGCAGGCACCAAACCTGGGAGACAAAAGCAAAGAATCATATGCGAGACACATGAATAGAAATGCTGCATGGCCAGCTTACAAGGGCGGACACCAGCAATGACAGAAAGGGTGGACACATCTGAAGAAAGAATTGAGAACCCCTAACACTAAACTGTTCTTTTCCTCTTCAAGCTGCACGATCGCAGGCCTGGACTAATGCCTGACCACAGTGAGACATTAATTAACCGGCAAACCACGAACGAAATGAGCGAGCGAAAAGGCAGGGCATGCACGAACCTAAATGCGGAAACAGCCTCTAAGAGGGTGTGCATCAACAAAAAGCGGCCAATTAATCCGGGAAAGTACTACGAAGTGGTCCCTTAGCGGGAAGCTTTGCATAAAAAGCCTGGAAGGCGGAAACTGCAGCGTGCTCAAGAACACACCTCGTGCTCGGCCGAGAACACGGACGATCCCAGGTTCCTCTCAGTTAGTCATCAGACGAATCTGAGCGAAGATAGGGGCAGGCTTGGCCAATTCATTACCTTTAACATTCCTAACACAATACGCCGATCTGGATTTGTTCTTACCTCCAACACTCAAGCCGATATCAAGGCCAGAATATTTACGAAAGTTCCAAACAAGCTGACATTTCGTGGCAAAGCTAAGTAAACTGTTTGGTGAAAAAAGATCAGACTTCTTCTTGGCAAGAAAACCTCTTGCATCACCCACAAGTTTCACTGGAGTGGCCCGAGCGGGCGCTTGTGTCACTGTGTTTCTTGCCTTGTTGGGGTCTTTGGCATTGGTTGAAGAGAAAAATGCAAACACCAAAAGGAACAAAAACAATGAACAAAAAGAAGCAAAGTTTCTCAATGCTAATTACCTGATCGGTTCATCCTTCTAGACATGGAGCAATTCTCAAAAGGTCCCGAACCTCCACCTCCTAGTAGCTTCTTGCTCCTAGTAGCGAGGCACTTGTTTCTAATAGCAAACATTGTTACTACTAGTAAGGCCAGGAGCCCCTAGTAGCTTCTTGCTCCTAAGGGCCTCCCCACTCGCTTCACACCCTTCACACCCGCGGTTGCACGCCTCGTTGGGAAGACGAACTGTTCCTGCCACACCTCGTTGAAGTACTCACATTGTACCAATGTGAGGCGTACTCTCTTAACTCGACATTTCCCGGGAGAGTTGCATTGGGAATGCAATCGGTCATCGCGAGAAAATGGAGCAATTGTCTCTAGAAATCTGAAAGTCCCCTGTTACTTGAGAAAACGATACTTTTGGTTTACGTCAGGCAATCTTTCCTGACGTTCGAGACGGAAACTGCAACGGTAACGAAAACTCGGGTCTGGTCATGAACATTGTTGTGGATGACCGACCCACTGAGATCCAAGAATATGGTTAAATCCGACGCTCGGCCACTTGGATCTGGGATGGATTCAGCTTTGGATGTGAAACATGGATTTTATGTGGGCCCTGCTGAGCCACCATCAATTCCTTCCCTGCTAAAAATGCGTCATTGGTTGGGCCGTGGCCTTTGACATAGAAAAAGAGTGAACAAAAACACAAGAGAAACCCCACGTGGCTCGAGAAACAAAATTTTTGCTAACAAGCATCCATCATCCTTGTTTTTGGTCAAACCCACAATCTAAGATCGAACTTGTCCACTTCATACTAGGAGCAAGGACGCTACTAGGGGCTCCTGGCCCTACTACTAGTAACAAGCTACTAGGAGCAAAGGGCATCAACCTCTGCAGGCCCAAGGGGCTGGGCGACACATTAATGAAGCACAATGAACTCCACAACAGCAGCATCGCGGCAAAAACCACGGCAGCGCGCCGTGTGCGCTTCGACCGGTTCGGAATAAGCGGCCACATAATGGGCACTGTATTTGAGCCGCAAGGGGCTGCGCGGGGTGGTAGCTTGAAGGCCATCGCTATTAGCTTGGAACCCATTTCTATTCTGCGAGGCGGGAGATTTGGGCGGTAGAGATTAGACCTTTCGTCCTTTTCCTTTGTCTTGTTTCTATGTGAGTGAAGTCACCTGTGCTTGAGATGCCGCCATGGGTCCGCCATGGGCGATGGCATATCATATCTGGGCAACAACCTTAAACCTATGTTTGTGATCTGATGCAGGGTTTTTGATTAATTTGGTTGGTGTTAGCCTCCAGTCAACTCCCCGGTGAACGACCAATTGACACTGGGCCTGCTGGACGTGCTCACGTTTCCAAAAGAGCTGCGCTTCATAGCTCAAGTGCCTCAGCAAGAAACCAGAAAGTTGATGAATTGGTGAGTTCATGGTGGAGCAAAACATGAGGGTAAGGACCCAGAAGACGGGTTCTCAGCGGCCTTAGCTTTCATGCGGCTAAAAGCAAGATGTTGCTTTGCGTAGGAACTGCTTCGGTGGGGCAGCTGTGGCCAAAGTAGTGGCGTTTGTTGTGACGTTCGATGATTGTTTGTTCCCCACATCACTGTGTGGGGTTCTTGTTTTTCGCTCTGCACCTGCCGCTCCGTCCCGTCCCGCCACGTTCTCCGTCCCTCTTACACCGCTCATCTTCCACCACTCATCTTACACCACTTTCGGAAGTTTCTTTCATGATGTGTGACCGTCTGTCCGCGAGAGTTTTTGCAGCTTTCGGCGATTGAGTGTGAGCTGTCGATATCGGAAGTGGGTCAGTGTGTTAGTGAGTCAGTGATGATGCAGACGTGTTGTTGATAGCGCCTGATCGAACCGAAGCCACGTTTACTGACCAAGTGTTTTCAGTTTTGGCGCGTTGTCACGAGGCTAGGGCTTCTCCTACTCGCCTGGGAAGGTGCATCGTTTCCACTCATGTCCACATAGATGGTCAACCCAGACTGCAGTGCAAACATCCATGTTCTTTGTTTGCGAGCATGACACCAAAACGTCTACTGCGTTCTAGTTTGTGTTGTCATCAGGCTACATGCTACGATGCATGCGATGGCAACCACGCAGCACGGCATAGATACAAATAACAGTCTATCACTGTGCTACTTACAGTCACATGGACTCATCCTTTCATATTGTTTTAGATCATGCATCACCTGCGCCAGGTACTCTGAACTGCACGGGATGCAGCTTGCACTTGCGCTGCCTCTGTTCAACAAGAACTTGTGTGCTGCACGTCTTCTGAAGAAGTTCACATAAAGCTGACCTACAAAAGAAGCTACACCCACACACTCTGTCTCTCTCACTCCCTCAATCATTCTCTCAATCAATCCCTGCTTATTCTTTCACATCGGTGTCTCTTTCATTCACTTTTATTGTCCAGTATCTTTCCGTCCTCTTTTCTTCTCAGTCTCTACTTCTCGTTGCTAGCTCTTACAAGCTTGACATGTGGGTTATCCAGTCCTTTTATTTCGGGTCTTGCTGGCCCTTGCCATACACATTCAGACTGACTATCAGGTCTCTTGCTTCTTCTTGCCTTTTGGATGCAAACAAACAGTATTATGCCAAAGGAGTGGGAATCATGTTGTCTTTATTGGTGGATTGGGAACTTGATGTCAAGACATCTGCAGGATAAGGGTCATAATTCCACTGCTGGAACCCGGTGGCGAGATGGCCATCTCAACTGAGCACCGGTGCTGGTATTGACACCCACTGCATTGAGCAAAAATCGAACACCTCGCGGGGTGCGAGGCAAGGCAGCTCATGCGCACGGCAAGGCCGGATGCGCGGCATAGTTGTGGCTTGCACATGGTTTGCATAGCTTCGAAAGTGCCCACCTCGTTGCCTTTGCATGAATAGTCAAAGATAGAGTCGCCAAATCCCCCATGAATCGCATGTCCAACGATACTTACTTAAGCTCAGCATCCAGCACCACCCTGAAGGCTGTTCAGTGAAACTGGGCGCCTGGGATGTTGGAACATATGAACAAAGCTTTCATCGGCTCTACCACCCCATTTCACATTTCAATCATGAGATAGAGTCACCCCAACCAATGCCGGCTATTTGACATGCCACGGCCTGATGCAACTGGTGGTGTTGAGTTTGGGAAGGAGCGTGGCTTGTTCTACTGAAAAATAACCTCTCGAAATAAAAATGTGAGACACCCCATCAGTTCGCTCCCCTTCCGCCTCGGTTCCACACGCTCGGGAGACGCTTCCAGGATACGTTGGAGCCGCGCCTCACCAAACAGCTTTCATGGTTGACGGATCTTGAACAGAAGTTCTAAAAAAGATTGAAGTGTTTAAGAGTGTTTTTTGGTTTTAAATATACTTTGATTGATTGTTTTCATTTCATGTATTTCGCTCCCCGGTCTGTGACAGTCACCAACATCAAGGGCCTCAGACCGCCCTTTGAAGTTCCGGATGATCTTTAGCCTGAGCGAGGCTTAGGCGCATGGACAAGACAAAGTAGGACAAATGGATAAAACATTGAACGCAGCTATAGCTGGGAAGGTTTCAGCAAGTTTAGTGCAAAACTCAAGTGTGTAATCGCCTCAACCAGTGCCACAGGTTCTTTTGTTGGTTCCGTCGGAAACTCTTTAATTGGAAGATACCATAGCACATTCGAGTGCTTCTATGCTTCTATAACATCACAAACTACCAAAGGCCGGGACAGAAGGAAAAAGCATATACAGCGGAGGGTAAACTGTTTGGATCATTCATTCATTGTTGGTAGGAACTAATCGCAGAGAAGCAGTTGTATGTCAAACGGACCTCGGCGTGCTATCAGATTTGTTGATGTAGACTGTCACCACTATCTTCACTGTCAACTCTCCATGCCCAAGCTACTCTTGCTACGAATTCAGCGTTTCTTGGACCATACTACCCAATGAACCCTCAGGTGAGTCTTCCGAGGAACATCTGACAAACAAAGCACCTCACGATTCCAAACTTCGTTACAGGGCAGGTCTCCCAAACGTGGTGTGCTAGCAGCATGCGGGCGCCTTCCACTGCCAGGAACCCGTACTGGACCAATTCCATCGGCAGCGCGCCGAAGACCATGACCTCTATAGGACTCGTTGTGAATATCTGTGGATCCTGTGGATCCTCAAATCTTTGCGAAAGTAATCTTCTTGCTTTTCAGCCGGTCTCCAATGGTCCAAACTCAACCAGTCACTGTTTAACAACTGCAAAGCCACAAATCCGACTCCTATTTCCAGCTCCTGATCTTGAGGTGAATTTCTGACAAAATAAACCCTCAAAAGAATCCGTTTAACACGTTCATCGTTTCGTTGTTGGTGAACTGGCCCCATCCAGCACGGGGCCCAAGAAGTCGACCGTTGCTCCGCCAGGAGCTACTAGCGTCCGATCGCTCCTAGTAGCGTCCTTGCTCCTAGTAGTAAGGCACTTGTTACTAGAAGCGATGCACTTGTTACTAGTAGCTTCTTGTTTAAAATAGCTTCTTGTTACTACTAGTAAGGCACTTGTTACTAGAAGCGATGCACTTGTTACTAGTAGCTTCTTGCTCCTAGTAGTAAGGCCAGGAGCCCCTAGTAGCGTCCTTTGTTCCTAGTAGCGATGCCCTTTTCCAGACGAATATGCTTCTATTTGTTCGGGAGATGTCGGGAGACGTGCTATCCAAGGCACCACCCAGCGTGTCGGACCAAGGCGACCCAAGGCCTCCGGGGTCCAAACGAAGGTCCAACAAGAAGCTACTAGAAACAAGTGCATCGCTACTAGGAACAAGTGCCTTACTAGTAGCAACAATGTTTGCTTTTAGTAACAAACAGTTCTGACGCTTTCTTGTTTCTAATAGCAAAAATTGTTACTACTAGTAAGGCACGTGTTCCTGGTAGCAATGCACTTGTTTCTAGTAGCTTCTTGTTTAAAATAGCTTCTTGT